TGACGTGGATTAGTTCTTTAGAATTTTGTGCAACTTTTCCAACACGTTGACCTTGCATCTGCATGGTGGAAATGAATTCCCTTGTGTTCAGTGCCTTTCTGAATTGACTTTCCTTAGTAGGATCAATAACTGAGTCACTGGTGATGTTTAACCTCTCCAGGGATGTAGCAACATAGTCTGAGAAACATTGGTAAGAATGTGGAAATCACTGCCACCCTGTGAACCATGACATCAGTCTATGTCACGGAAGAAGGAGTCCACTGAAGAGAGCTCTTCAGCCTATCCTGTCTGTACTGATTCTCAGAAAAATTTGTCCAGTATAGTTCTCAATATAGATCTCACCTAAGTTTTTCCCATTATCTTGCAAATTAGTTATCCTCAAATGCTAGTCCAATTGCCTTTTGAAAATTACTGTGGAAAGTGTTGTCACTACCCTTTAAAATAATCTATTACAGATCTCAGCAACCCTCCATGTTAAAAAAATTCTCCTAAGTGCCCCTCATTAGTTTGCCAGTCATCACTTATCAGAGGAAGCAATTCCTCTATACTTGTTCAAGTAATCAATGTGAATATACATTTTCAGGTATGTTACACTCCATCTCTTCTTGAAAACACCAAATAATATTATAATACCAGTAAGATTATACTACCTTTCAAAATTGATTCTGTGAAAGTGCATTACTTTGCACTTATCCATATGATAGATGCAATTTAATGTAACTGGTTATTTAACCAGCCTGTGTCCTCCTGATGTTTAGAACTATCTTTTTCATTATTTATTGTGTGCCAAGCTTTGTAATCTTTATACCCAAGTTCACGTCTTTTTATGTATAATGGTTAAAAAGGTCTCAACACCAACTCCTGAGGGACCCCATCTCTCAATTTATTGGTGTTTTAAATTGTGGTCTTTAAATGCTCAGTCCTCTGAAGGGTGCATTGACACATTGGAGGCAAAGATGAATTACATTTTTTAATGTCTTCCAAGAGGAAACTTGCAAAAAATGGAGTCTACCACATTTTTAATGGTCAATCGATTACTGGTGTACTGTCGGATCTGGTCAGAAGAGAACTTTTGTTTTCTGTGTGTTTGTAATACAAGCCCCATTTTAGTATGCTTTCTGAGCACAGATACAACATCTTTGTATGCAAAGAAGTTCAGTGATTGCAGTTGGATGGAATTCAATTTTAAACTGAAGTTACTATAGGGTTCTGAGTCTGGGTTGGGTTAAAAGAGAGAAGGGCCAGATTTGTCATCCAACTTAAAAATTATCCAAGGACACTGAAACCCCCCTCAGTGAAGATTTCCATTGCCTATTCCATAAATTGGAAAGCTCTTCACAATTGTTTCATTAACAGAAGCTAGTGGGTTGGTAGTTAGTTATGAAATGCCTGTTTTGCTCCTTGGCTGTCAAACCTTCTTCGGACAGTTCCTGTCCTGGGGTCTCCTATTCAACTTCATCCACTTCATCAAAGGTAAGTTCCCCTGTCAGTGTGATTCTGAACTTTGGCAATGTTGTAAAATCCTCTGAGGTTACTGACAAACTTGGGCCATGCTTTCTGCCATAAACTATTCATATGCAAGAATGTAACTTCCTCCCTCAAATCAGCCATATTTTTGCTATCCTGACCTGTTTCTTGGATTACCATCAAACTAAGAGGTATCTCACAGAAGTTTTGGTCTTGAATCTGATTTGATTTGATTTATTGTCACGTGTACCTAAATACAGTGAAAAGCTTTTTTTGCGAGCAGTACAGCAGATCATTGGTTGAAAAAACACTTGGACGTAGTAAGGCATACAGGTTACACTGCACAGGATGTGCGCAAGGCAAGATCAGATTAACAAGATTAGCGTTATTTGAAGTTAGAGAGTCCATTCATCAGCCTAATAATGACAGGGAAGAAGCTGTTCTTGAACCTGCTGGTGCGGCAGAAGAATTGTAAGTAAGCATTACTTACAATTAATGGGAGGGGTCTATGATGTTGGCAGCCTTTTTGCAATAACGGATGTGTACATGGAGTCCGTGGATGGGAAGTTGGTGTCTGTGGTGGTCAGGGCTGTGCACACAGTCTTTGTAGTTTCTTATGGTCCTGGACAGAGCAGTTGCTGTACCAGGCCGATATCCACTGGGACAGTACACTTTCTGTGGTGCATCTGTAAAAGTTGGTGAGGGTCCTTATGGACATGCCAAATTTCCTGAGCTGCCTGAAGAAGAGGAATTGTTGTTGTGCCTTCTTGACTGTCACATCTACGTGGAAGTCCAGGACAGGTTGTCGGTTATCGTCACTCCTAGGAACTTGACTTTCTCAACCCTCTTAACCTCCTAATCTAGTCTGTACAACATGGCATGCCTCAGGTCCTAAGGTCCCTGGTTCTTGGTGCATTCTTACCGTCTGCTGCTTTGAACTAGACGAAGGTATGGCGTAACTAGTAAGTCTTGAAAACTACTATTGCATGTGGATCCAAGGAGCTGTAGCATTGAAATTGTATTGGGTGACAGGAAAATTACCTTCACATTTTCAGACAAGTCATCAAGGTTAACAAAATGACCTGGGCAATTATCCAAGAGAAGCAATATTGTGAAGGTGATACTTTTTCTGGCATGGTATTCCATCCATGCAGGAGTGGCATATTATCAAGAACTATTAGTGCTTCCATGATCTATGTGTTCGTGTTTTAATGCCATATGACACACACAAGTTCCTTGGGAAAAACCCCCCGAAAGCTTTTGACTCAGACTGATCATAACTAAAGGCTGAAGCTTTGTATATCATGTATCATTCTCATGAAGTGCAGCTTCAAGCATTCTTTGCAGTTTTAAATTTCCCTCTTTGGAAATGCATGCTGTCTGTCATATACATTTCCATCAAAACACAACCCAAAAATGTTAATTAAAAAAGGTTTTAGTGAATAGCTGTCTTTTATAATTATTCTTTTTAAGGAGGCAGGGATTTCATAAGCTACTTTAGTAATGGCACTGGCTTCTTTCCTGGTGATTTTAATGTTGTGCAGAAAGAAATGTTCTTGAAAAACTTGAATCAACCAGAACTAGCAGTGAAACTTTTGAGTGTGAACTCTCAATCTGCTCATTCTGTAAGCTGTCATAGAACCTCTTGCTTTTACTTGGATAATCATCAAAGAGAATCCTGTATTAACAGTTAAATACCGCAGATGTGGGAAATCTGGGATAAAAACTAAGTGCTGAAGCAGCTCAGCAGGTTGGCAACATTAGGATGGCTCCAGAAGATAATACATATCAGATCAAAAACAAAGTTGCTGGACAAGCTGAGCAGGTCTGGCAGCATCTGTGAAGAAAAAATCAGAGTTAATGTTTCGGGTCTGGTGACCCTTCTTCAGGAAGACCTGCTCAGCTTGTCCAGCAACTTTGTTTTTGTTCCTGATTTACAGCATCCGCAGTTCTTTCGGTTCATATCAGATCAAACTGTTAACTGTTTCTCGCCCCAAAAATGCTGCCAGACCTGCTGGGTTTTTCCAGCACACTGTTTTTATATTATATGAGGTACTTCTGGTTTCTGTCTTTGATCCAAACTTTCCACATTCCCCTTGTTGCTACTCCAACGTAACCATGTGAGGACTTAAAGTGGTAACACTTTGCGCAATTTGTTTGATTTTTGTCAAGTGCTGTGGGTCGCCCATGTGTTCTGCCAGTATCGGTTGTGTTCCCTGGTCTCAATTTTTAAATTTAACTTTCTCAAATTTCATTGCTGAAGTGACAATTTTTCTTGGTTTCTTGGCAGTAGACACACTACCATCGCTTACTGGGCATGTTAAAATGTTTGAGAGATTGCAAAGAATTGAAGCACTAAATCACAAGCCTGAACCAATCTCAAACAATTTAAAAATGGCCTCTCTGCCTCCAATTCATGTAAATTTCAACAAGGTTCCTACTTGGGGCTCCAAAATTAATCAGAAGATTGCAGAGTCAGGACCTACTGGCTTTCCCTTTCCTCTTGCCAAGCCTTGTAATTTTTGTCAAAAGGAGGCCTTGAGCCAAGGACAGCACTGCAATCTGCAGCAACTGCCTCTCACTGACTTCGAAATGGCTTCTCCGTCTCACCTGCAGCACATACTTCTCACTCTCACTGGCTTTAAAATGTCCACTCAACCTCTCATTCTGCAAAGCTAAACAAGGGCCATACTTGGGGGTCCAAAGCTAATCAGAAGATTGTGGAGTCAGGCTTCTGAAGGGTAAGCATGGTGACCTGTATTTTGTTAACCCACATATGTCCCAAATAAAGGCAGGTAACTGCAGCAAGGACCCCTCTCGCCAATTTTTAAATGGCTTTTCTGTTTTTACCTGATACAAAGCTCTACAGTCTGGGAGTGCTGCAAAATTAAAACGGGATAACAGTGTCAGGAATTGCATCGAGAATGCGCAAATGTGAGCAGTACAGAAAAGTACTCTGGCTGTAGATATTCTTCACTCTCAACTGCATTGCAAGTTTTTGGGGAAAAAAATTACTAATGCTTCAAGTACTACTGAACACTGCTCACCTGCTCCAAAAGTTGCTACATAGGCCCCAGCACAAAATATGCTAAAGTGGAAGACATGACAGTAAAAGTGTACATATCAGTTCTATTATCTGTGACATTAAGGTGGCACAGCACTGGATGAGGTGATCTTGAATGGGCGTTTGCTGTAAATAGGCCATAGTTAGTGCAGGATTTCAAGTGATAAGGAGTTCAGATATAGATTATGATCTGATTGATTGATTGAAATATAGGTTTGAGGAAATGAATGGCCCCTTCCTGATTTCAATGCTGTTACATGGTGAAAGAAGTAAAGCTAGTCATCTGATCTGATGGACCTAGGGTTGCTGAGTTTTTGAATGGATTCTGGGATTTTGACGGAAATTAATTCTAGTTCTTGTGCAGAAGAAATTTTTTATTCCCACTTAGAGCACAGCAGCAACATTGAGGTTTATTAATGTGCAAAAAGATTTATAAATGCTTTACATATTAACAAATGTTACTCTTTAGGTGTTAAATGTTGGACCAAGGAGATCACAGCATGGGCAAAGAAGAGAACCAAGGAAGATTATTACGAATATAACTGTGAATGATGATATCCAACTAAAGAAGTCAGAGAATGCATGGAAACCTATATTAAAAAGAGATGATATTTCTGATGACTCTGACGTGCAAAAAACACAGGTTAGATAAAAACAAAACTGTCTTGAATATATTTTGCACCTTTAAGCATAAACAGCCTGCATCTAAACACTGTGTGGAATTTCTAGAAATTGGTGCATTTATCCATAGAATTGCATTGACTAGGTAAAGGCTTTCTGAAACATATGAAACTTTAAAAATACCCTTTTTCCAGTCATACACCTTTGACCTCAGTTTTGATCACTTGTTTCATTGTTCTTCACTTGAGGTGTCAGCTATGGTGATACTTTCGTCACTGAGTCTGAAAGTTGTTGGTTCAACTTCTGCTGAAGGAGTTGAGCACGAAACTTAAAACTGACCCTCCAACCCGTTATGGAGGGTATCCTGCGCTGGTGGAGGAGGTACCATCATTTGGAGGAAGCATTAAGTAGAGCCTGCTTCCCTCATCAATGTACCATGGGTTCTGCCACATTCAGTAAAACTTCACATGACCAGTAGATTATCCAGAATATTAACATCTTTGTTATCACACTGTAAACCATGATAGTTCAGGTATGCTAATGAGATCCGAATGAGGCCTTATTATTTTGTTGAATTAGTACTTTTAGGCAAGATCTTCCCTCAGTTGGCTTTTGCTTTTAACATGCTCTCCTTTTATGCTCAATCCAGGAATTGTTCCGACGAGTAAGAAGCATTCTGAACAAGCTGACACCACAAATGTTTCAACAATTGATGAAGCAGGTTCAGGAGCTGACAATTGATACAGAAGAGAGGCTGAAGGGAGTTATTGACCTAGTGTTCGAAAAAGCCATCGATGAACCTAATTTTTCAGTAGCATATGCTAATATGTGTCGCTGTCTCACAATGGTAGGTTAATGAATATCAAGTGTGCACATTTTATGAACACAGGTCAATTTTGGCATAGTTTTTAAAATTGCAAGTCTCCATTTTCTTTTATTGTGTGTGGACTGTATTTTGTGTGGCAGGCACAAAATTATTTTATTTAAATCTAATTTGCCAAAATACTTTTATTTTTCTAGTTTTTTGCAGAAGGGAAAGAGACTGCTGATGAGCACAACCTCACTCCTGCTTCCATGCAATACAGATAACTAAATAGTGTATATAGGAGAGAGAAGAAAGCATTTCAGTTATATAATGAGTCAAGGTCAGGCTTGGGTTAGTCAACGTTGACCTATTGCAGCTTGTCCATAGTGAAACACATTGAGTTTACAGGATGCGATATTGCAGGTTTTCCCATAATAAAAGATAACTATTTAACAACACGTTGTTTTTCTACTGAGGTCAGAAATGTATTTTGTTCTATAACATTAAATCAAAGATAAGCTTGTACGGAACAGACATTCACACGAGCATCACAACAGTTCAGAAGCTATGATTACTCATCATCAAAATAAAATTGCTGAAAGTTTCCACAGATCATTAGCCCCCAGCGTGAATAATACTATTTTTGGAAAAAAGTGGCAATGATTTTTGCATCAATAACTGCTTACAGTTGTAGAATTTGATCACAGTTTTGAATTTTAAATGTGTACTTATAGAGGGAGTGAGACTGTTTGAGTTTTTGATGATGACCTCTTGACACTGAATAATGGTGTTCCTTTCTATCATTAGCTGAAGGTCCCGATGTCTGATAAGCCAGGAGCTTCAGTAAATTTTCGTAAGCTGTTACTAAATCGTTGTCAGAAAGAATTTGAGAAGGACAAAGCCAATGATGTTGTCAACGAGAAGAAGCAGAAAGAGATCGATGCAACCGTTAAAGTAAGGAGCTGTAACAGACACCCAAGTCATGTCTCTGAAATTGATCGTTTTATTTGCTGGTCATGAATGGTTTAAATTCTTTTTCACTCCTTGATGTCAGCTATCTGAGCTAGCTGAAATGAAGAATTCTGGTGCACAAGATTAAAGTTTGAACAAACTAGTAATTACAAGCAGAAAATTCTTGGAATACTTAGCAAGTTTGGTGGCCTCTGTGGCAAGAAACAAGAGTTAACATATGAAGTTAATGATACACTGGCAAACTTGGGGAAATGTTATCTGAAGCTTTCTTAAGCATTGTCATTAAAAAACTAATTTATATTTTACTAATTCATGCCCTTTGGAGAGATGCTTTCCGGCAAGATGGCGGCAGGGTACGTTGCTCCATTTGGAGCTCCACTCTGCTCGCCAGTTCTCTTTCTCTCTTTGTCCTTTTTTTTTTCCTCCCTCCCTCTGTAGTAATTCTATCCCCCACTCCTTTTAACTACCTACCTAAGCAGTCAGGAAGGAGCTGGGTCGCGACCAGGAACCACGTAGCGAGCGCTGAATGCACGGGTTGTGTCCTGCAGCAACAGCAAATCAAGCCAGAGAGATGATGGCAGATCAAAAGTGGTCTGGTGGTGCAGCGGCAGTGAGAGTGGGCCAGTGAGGCAGCCCAGAGCAGGGCGCTGGCAGCAGCATGGCGCAGGCCGGAAAGCCTGGAGCGGGACTCTGGCGGAGGCATGACAAGGGCCGGAAAGCCCAGAGCGGGACTGCAGCAGTGGAACGGAAAGTTGGACACTCTCAAGTTATCTTTTCTTATATTATTCTAAATTTATATGTATGGCGAAGGTACACACTTTTCACGGTACTTTTACTTTGAATACGTGTAACAATAAATGATTCAATGCTTATTCTCCTTTGCCTAATATAATTTGTAATTTTACAGTGTTGGTTTTGGGTAAGGTAAATATATACTAGAATACTCGAAATAGTGTCCTTGAAGGATCAAAGATTACATGTATTTGTTTGGATTTAACCTGCAATAAAGGAACTATCACATTAGTAAAAATGGAAAGAACTATGGATGCTGTAAACCAGGAACAAAAACAAAGTTGATGGAGTTCAGTTCTGAGGAAGGGTCACCGGACCCGAAACATTAACTCTGTTTTTTCCTTCATATATGCTGCCAGACCTGCTGAGCTTTTCCAGCAACTTTGTTCATGTATCA